TATATAAAATTTTGACCAAGGCTTCTAAAAGGAAGAAAACAAACATTAATTCTTGCTCAAAGTACCTCAAATTATCCCCCAAATTATCCTTGCCTTAGAAAGCTTGCTTAGCATGCATGAAGCTCTGGGTTTGATGCCTAGTACCAAATAATCTGGTTGTGGTAGTGCACACCTGAAATCCAAGTACTTGGGAAGTAGAGGTAGTGCGAGATACATAAAACCCTGTCTACAACCCCCCCGAAAAAAACCCACCATACTTAGGGGCTAGGGCTCTAGCTTTGTGTCAGAACATTTATCTAGCATATACAAAGCCCTGGGTTCAAATCCCACACAGAAAAACAACCCTATACAAATTAAAGAATAAATCACTTAAATTCATGTCTGATGTAACTCAGTAAGTACTAATAACAACTAACTATTGAATGACACTAAGGAATGTGGGCAAGCTGGATGGCAGGCAGGTCTGTTATCTAAGTACTCAAGAGTTGAGGCAGGAAGATGGAAAGTCTGAGGGAAGCCTGGCTTTCATAATGAAACTGTCTCAAAAACCAAACACAGCAATATAATATTCATTATATTTAAAAACAGAAAAGCAAGGGAAACTAGGGAGACTAAAAGTGTGTTGCACATGAGCTACAGAACTACAGTATCAACTTTAAATTTTTCTTCTTTTGTTTTAAAAAACAAGTCTCCTAGCCAGGCATGGTGGTATATGCCTGTTTGTAATCCAAGTAGTTGGGAAGCTGAGGCAGGGGATTGCCAGTTTGAGATCAGCCTGGGCTACACAGCAGACCAGGTCTCAAACAAACCAAGTTTCCTAGTTTCATCATGGGCCAGTCAAATTACTTTTATGACAAATGAAGATAAAACTGCCAAAAAAGTGTCAAAGTTAATCTGCCTTCAAGAGTTGGGAAAAAAAAAAAGAAATCAATCTCATAAGTTAATCTTCAGAACATAATTTCCATTTACTAGCCTCTTTGAAATATAATACAATTCCCTTGGCATCTAACACTTTACTCACCATGCGCAGAATTTTAATTTCACAAGCCACTTGCCAAAGAACACTTAATACATGATACAAATCTGGTCTTTGAGGAGTTGCTGTTAGTTTCTAGTGAAAGCAAAATAAAAATTATGTACCATCATAGTCCATATCAAATATGACTTAACATTAATATCTTAACAGTACTGAGAAATTTAAATTAAAAGATGAGGATTACGGGTTGGCAGTGCACATTTTGCTTTTAGTCCCAGCACTCAGGCAGCAGAGGCAGGCCAGCTTGGTCTATATAGCAAGTGCTAGGCCAGTCAGAGTTATATAGTGTGATCCTGCCTAAATAAATAAGTAAATAAATAATGGAAGTATAAAACATTATACATAAATTTTTCAAATATTTCTTCATTTTGAAAACATATAGCAGCAACATATAAAATTCACTGTACATGGGTTAGAGATCGCTCAACAGCTGGGAGCACTTGCTGCTCTTCCAGAGGACCCAAGCTGGATCCCATAACTCACATAGGCACCTCACAACACCTGTAACCTTAGCTCCAAGGGATCCAATGCCCTCTCTGGCCTCCATGGGCACCAACACACATGGCATAACACATAGACATAAATAAAAAAGAAAATCTTAAAAAATATCAGGCTATATAATGTGACTTGTTAAGGAAAAATCTTATTGAAGAAAAACTAAAACAAAAATATGTGATGTCCTGGCAGATCCTGTAATCTTGGCACTTGAGAAATTGGGATTGCTGAGAGTTCAAGTCTGGCCTGGGCTACAAAGTAAGTTTGATGCCAGCCCAGGATATAAAGCAAAATTGTTACAAACCCACACCAAAAATCATTTAGCTATGGACACAATAAGACAGAAACAATCCCTATCCTCTGCGTCTGACAACATGGCAGAGCTGAAAACAGTAGCTAATGACATGAATAATTAATTAACTTGTGTTATATACTGTGGAGAAAAACAGGTATGTCAGAAATAAATATTAGGGAACCACTGTCAGCAAATGGAAAGGTAGTCCTGAGAGAGGAAATCTTATGTTTAAAAGCCAGTGGAAAATGAAGCACAAGAAGTGGGAACATTTTCTCTGTAAGCAAGACAAAATCTTGGGTCTCGTATAGCCCAGGCTGGTTGGTCTCAAACTATAAAGTGGAAGATGACCTTGAACTCCTGATCCTCCTCCTTCCACCTCTCAAGTGCCTCCCAAATGCTGGGATCACAGGCTTGGCCCACTCTGAGAAAATCAGCAAGATACAATCTGATGAAGCATCTCTACTCTCTGTTGTTCATATACAGTATGTATGGTCTCAGGGTCTGAGCACTCTGCTCTTGTTTAATAGTTACCATCTAGGTGAGGATACACTCCTGAATTTCTTTTTTGTTTCTTAGGGGGTTTTTTGGTCTTTTTGAGACAGGGTCGCCCTGTAGCCCCAACTGGCCTGGAACTCAGAGAGCTGCCTGCCTCTGCCTTCGAGTGCTAGGACTAAAGGCGTGTGCCACCACACCCGGCTACTCCTGAATTTCTTGATCCATTATTCCTACCCAGAGCCCTTTTATGTATAAATAAGCACTTCTAATTAGAGCAACAGATCATTAACACAAAGCACTGTGATCCAATTAGAAAGAGTATTCTAATAGCAACATTCAGGCCTTCCCACTACAGAGCGAAAAATGTCGGGAGGCCACTGTTCCTGTACTGAGCCTCCAACAGATCAGACTAAAAATCAAAATGGAGCCAGCCTGGTCTACATAGTGAGTTCCAGGCCACCATACATGGATGTAGAAAAAATGTGAATACTTGTACAGGGCTGATGGGAAGGAAAAATAGTCCACACAGCATGGAAAACAGGATGGCATTTCCTGAGAAAAGTTAAACACAGAATTACGTTGAATCTAGCAACCCTAGTTCTGTACATATAAACAAAACAGAAAACAAAACAAAACAAAAACAAACAAAGACCAGTTGGGAAAAGTGCTTGCTAAGCAAACAAGCCCAAGGACCTGAGTTTGAGTCTCAGTATCCATGTAAAAGTCAAATCCAACAACATATACCTGTAGCTCTTCACAGGGGAGGTGGAGAGAAGGCTCCCTAGGACTTACTGGCCAATCAGTCTAGCCAAATTGGCAAGTTACATGTCCTGGTGAGAGACTCCCCATCTCTAAATAAATATATAAATCAACAAACACAGCTAAGTGTCCCTTGGTGGATCGACACATAAATTTTAGTGAATAAATACAGAATACTACTTAGTCTTTTAAAAATGAAATTCTAATACGACACAACAGACAAAATATGCTAAATGAAGTAAGCCAGACACAACAGGACAAATGTCATATGATTCCAAGTCAAGTCACAGAAAATAGAACAGAAAGATCCAGAGGAAATGGAAGAATGGGGAGTTAGCGTTCAATGGAATGATGAAAAGCTCTGGAGCCAGACAGTCAGTACTGGCTGTACAATATAAATGTGCTCAATGCACACTGAAGAGTAAGTAAAACAATTGTGTATCTTATTTCAGTTTAAAAAAAAATTTTTTTTTTTTCTTGTCTTTTTGAAGCAGGATCTCCCTGTAGCCCCAGCTGTCCTGGAACTCACTATGTAGACCAGGCTGGCCTTGAACTCACAGAGATCC